GCCCCGCCGCGCCGCTTAGCTTGCGGTGTCCCGCCCCGCCTGGCCCCGGCGCTGTACATCGCTGGAAAGGGCTGTTGGGTGCGTGTTCGGCGGCTTCTCCGCGTTAAACTTTTCCACCGGCTCTCGCTGCCGTTGCGCGGGGCCGAGCCGTCCGTCACCTTTGGTGGGACTGAGGGAAGCACGGGCTGGGGGTGGAGCGACTCCTCGCCGTGGAAATGCTGTTGGGAGTTCGGTTTCAGAGTATCATTGAATGGTTTGGGTTGGAAGGGACCTTAAAGATCATCTAGTCCACCCCCACACACCCCCCCCGCCCCAGGCAGGGACACCTTCCCCCAGCCCAGGTCGCTCACAGCCCCGTCCAACCCGGCCTGGAACACTGCCAGGGAGGGGGCAGCCACAGCTGCTCTGGGCAACCTGTGCCAGTGTCTCACCACCCTCACAGGGAAGAATTTCGTCCTAATATCTCATCTAAATCTACCCCCTTTCACTTTAAACCAGTTACCCGTCATCCTATCCCTACGCCACCAGATAAGGAGTCTCTCCCCAGCTTCCCTCCCCAGCTTTCCTTTCCCAGCTTTCCTGTAGCCCCTTTCAGTACTGGGAGGCCGCTATAAGGTCTCCCTGGAGCCTTCTCCTCTCCAGGCTGAACACCCCCAACTCTCTCAGCCTGTCCTCATAAGGGAGGTGCTCCAGACCCCCCGATCATCTTTGTGGCCTCCTCTGGACACCCTCCAGCAGGTCTATTTTTTGTTTAGATGCGTTCATCTATATGAAGGCACTTCTAAACTTAAAAATTACACTTTCCAGGTACGAATGAATTGAAGCAAGCACCGCATTTATGGGTGATTTTTTGGTAGCATTCACTATGTAAATCACATGGTAGCTATCTAAAATAAAAGCAGCCTATTCTGCAAGCACTGTTAAAAGGCAGGCAGGCAGAACCTGGGAAAACAGGGTGAAACATGCTTTTTCCTTAAATCCATAGGATAGTGGGTAACACAAAAAGAAAGGGTTTTAAGAGGTGTTAAGAAAGGTGGGGAACCCAGGAGCTTGCTGCTCTGGCCATCCCCACCCCTGCTGTCAGGCTGTCACAGTGAAGGGCAACCGCTAGATGGTCAAAGCACTTTGGTCCCATCATTACTGGGACACCACTGCAAGTAGCGATGACTATCAGACAGAGGAAACTGGCAGAGGTTAATAGGTGAGAGCACGTGAGTGAAACAGCAAGTACATGTTAAGTGTTGAAATACTTCAATAATATCATGAACAGGCAATACCACAGTCTGCTGGGATAGTAACTAGGTGGCCAGCTAATCAGCTGATAAAATCAATCAACAGGCAAGTAAGTGCAAAGTGAATGGATGTGTTGGGCATGGAAGAAGTACAAATTAAATCCTTCCCTAAATGTGATTTTTCTGAAGTGTCTGGACTGAATAGACATTATTGTCTAAGACATACCTGTATTAGATGCCCTTACTGACCTTGAAAGAAACCCATCAGAACAGCCTTAAATTTAAGTGATGTTCAAAACAGAAGTATTTTAAACCTAGGATAAAAACCATATGGTCATTACACAGTGCAGTAGGCCAGGTGCTAAAAGTGAATCAATGACATTATTGCTTATTTTGTCAAAATACTTTTTCTCAAAAGCTAAAACTTTCTGTTGGTTCCAATTTTTGGTCTAAGAGGAAGTAGAGTTTGCTTCAGGGTTCATGCTGCTGTGATTAAAACAAATAGTATTGTCCTGAAATCACATGCTGAAATTCTGAAAGGGTCTGAATAATGTAGTTATTAACCTAGAGAAATTTATTCTGAATCTCGATCACTCGTGCTTGTGTTACACATTAGTCTTCTGAATAAAATGTTTTCTGAGTAAGTGTATTTCAAAGCCTATGGTAATGGAAGCATTTTTCATTCAAACCCCAGCTTTTAGAAGTTAGATAGCCATGAATATCAGCTGGTTTGCTTCAGATCTTATGTACTATCATGCCTTTATTCATCTACCCCAAACTGGTCTCAACCACCTTTTTTTTTTTTTTTTTTTTCCCCACTTGGCTTTTCATCTGTTTTACTTTCTCTGAGGTTTTTGAAGAGCTGCTCATTTTTTTTGATAAATATAAGAGCTTGAAAGCCCTGTTGCATCAAGCCAGGCAAGAATAGTAGAGCTTATGATTAATATTTACACATTTCTCCTCCAACTGTTTTGTTACAACCAAATGGAAGAAAAAAATCCAAATGTTTCTTGGTTTACCACAAATTCATTTCACTGTATTTCAATGTAGATGTCTTGAAGATCTGTTGTTGATATGACCAGACAGATATGCTAATCAACAACAGACTTAACTGCATCTTCTTTACTTCTCCCAAGATTCATCTGGTAGGTATTGAGAAGTGGTGATGATCCCCAGTACCTCTGATAAAGCTCTAAGTTTCCTTCAGTGAACCTGGCACATTGTACTTGACAGTGTTTTGATCACTTCTCTATCCCCAGTTCTGTATTGCTGTTAACACTGGTTTCTGCCCTGATGTGCCCCACCCCCCCAATAAACAACACCTTTGCATTTTGGAATTTTAATTTTTTTGTCTCTTTAGGGAAATATATTTCCCTTTAACAACATGTTACTACTTTTCTTTACATTTCTTATATATGCTGCAATGTAATTTAATGGTAAGAGCTACATATTTTCAATACTTCTCCTTCCTCCTAAGCTCCTAATATTTCCCTTTGTCTTTTAACACATTATTTTTCTGTGGTCAATTCATTAATCTTGAAATGTTCAATCTTTTAAGTCCATGAAGTAGTGTGTTTCGTTTCCTTAACCTTTGTGTTTCTTCTACTAGAATATTCTTCATCTTCATCTCTCTTTTTCTTCTCATGTCACCAAGATGTTCCTCTACTTCCCCCCTCCAATAATTCACTTGCATGAAGGTTTAGTTATTTCACAGTGTGTGGTAACTCATCCACAGTCACCACTAGACCATAGCCTGGTCAAGTGTGGTGGGGACATAAATACCTAAGTCCTGTTGGCATGTTTGTTAATGGGCATGCTCCATGCCATGATGATGCCTATAGTTTGTGTTTAGGGCATGTCCAGCTACATGACAGGAGGAAGGCTGGGGGGCTCTTGCAAGGGAGAACAGCAGGGAGACTGCTATGGGTTAGTGAATGGTTTGTGTGGCTGACAGCCTGCTTCCTGACCAACTCTGAGGGACTCTCAGGAAAGAAGATGACAGGCTGAGTTATATCTTCTGGCACACCAGGAGCTGGCTATTCTTGCTTTAATTATCTCATGCTAAAACCTTAATTTTTATAAGGAATGTGAAATCCCAGTTGTATTTAATTTAGGTCTCTTATGATTCTTTAGTTGTTGCTCTGTTTCTCAATTACAGCTTGATGTTATGACAGGATTTTTTTTTGTTCTCTTTCTGTGGAAGGAAATGTCCCCTATTTAGCTTGGCTTTTCTGCAACATTTAATGATTACTTCCCCATGGCAATTGGCAATGAACCTGGGACAAACCAAATCACTGGAATGCCTTCACTTTTTTTTTAAGACAACCCAGGTCACATTTCCATAGTCATTCAGCAGACTAGAAGATATACTCCACTTGTAAAGTTCATTCCCAATTCTTTTTTTTTTTTTTTTTTACCATCAGGATGAGGTAGACAGGTCTCTCCTTCCAGCATAACAAAATAGTCTATAAAATGAAAGTTCTGTTTGCTATAAAAATCTTCATATCAGATTAACAAATTGTCATATTAAGCCTCAGTAAAACCAGTTTTTCCTGTGCAGAGAAAGGAAGTCTTACCCCGGCCAACAGAGCCTTAGTGCTTTGCCTTTTCTGGTAGATATCAAGCTCTTTTGAGTAATTTCTTCCCACACTTTCAGAGGAGATTCTGTACTTACAAGCCCATAGAAATATCTAACCCTTTTGCCTTCTTCCTTTCGATTTTCTGTGCATCTCTTTGATTTTCAGGGTTGTCTATCCAGTGCTGTCCATCCTTGTAGTTGCCAGCACCCAAACTTCATGGCAGGTGTTGAGCTCATTGGTTTTTTGCAGGTTTGTCATTTTGCTCCCTCCCTTCCTCAGCCAGGTTTGTGGTATTTGTAGGTCACATACTGGGTTAGCTGAGTTCTTAGTTGTCTGAGATTCCATGATTTTTGGTGAAACTGTTACTTTTATCAGCTGTTTGGTTTCTGTGCTATAGAAGGGTGTGACATTCAGGTGGTTCACAGGAAGATCTTTTCCTGGATATAGGGTAGGCCACCAGCACAGCCAAGTACCATCACTGTTCCTTTATGTAGGAGTTATTTTTAAACCTTCTAAATCTTTAAATCACTTGTCTATCTTTAAATCACTTCGCTGTGTGTGAGCTTCTTTACTGCCTTCCACTGCATCTTCACAGCTGTCATCCAGGATTCCTTTGGTGATTTATTATTATCTGGAATGAACTCTAGAATTAATGTAAAATACTGCACTTTTTTACAGTCATTTTATTACCAAGCTCATTTTGTTTTCTTTTTTGTTGTTGGTCAAGTTTGTTTTCAACAGTCTTTGTAACATTAAAGTTTTCAGGATAAGTACAGGTACCTTGTTTCAGCTCTCAGAATAACTATAACATTTCTTTTCAAGTTGTCTAATGCTATTTTTTAAAACATAAACCATGGAATATTATTACAAATAGCAATACTGTATTCTTTCAACAACAGCAATGAAAGAGTGGTGCAACTGGGAAAGATTGTCTTGAATTTAAATACTCATTAAAAGAAATTGATTCTAAAATGAGTCAGTATGGGCTAATAAGCTGCACTAACTTCTAATATGATGAGTAGACTTCTTAAAGGGACTTCCTTATTTTGGTTTTGAGCACCATGTAGAAATTTTTAAAATTAATTTTCATTTTAAATGTTATTGTTGATACTGAATGAATTTTGAAATTAGACT